TGATAACAATATTTTCGACAAATCTTCCCTTCGATCAATTTTTGTATCGACTAATTTTCGAGTCGAGCAATTATCATATCGACCAATTTTCGTATCGCTCAATTATCAGCGACCAATTTTCGTAAACTCCCCATACTCACACCTATACCTACACTCATACCCTAAATCTCTAAGTACGACTTACCTGGACAGGTGCACTAAGCACTTGGAGTGATGGCTGGAAGCACGTGGACAACTGTGAAGAAGTTTGATATTTGATCGCGTTCATGGAAGTTTAGTTGAGAATTTTTTCTTTTGTAATCGATTTTTTAAGGCATGTTACCGGTATATACGTTACGACTCGAATGAACTCAAGTGTGCCGTGCGCGCATATATATAGGGTGTAGATCGTCCGTTAATAAATAGTCCGCCATGTCTATGATCTGGTGACGGATGGTAGATTTTTGAGTCTTATGAACACTCTGATATCTGGTGAGTTTCACGTGAACATTTCAGTGTTGAACTGTTCGAAATAAGATGGGTGTGGGTGTTGATGAAAAGGACACTCACACCCACATCCAGCCACACCCACACCCAGCTCAGCTAGGACAAGCAGCCGGATTCGATTTAGGAATCCTACTTTCAGAACTTGCAGGAAATACATCGAATCCTGACGTTTCTTACTGTATATCTTTGATCTGGAAGTATTATATTTAGTATTTTTTTCCAGAATAAATCACAGCTATCGAAGAGTGCCTTAACATGTTGTCAACCACGTTAGTCGAGCACGGCATCGGTCAAATAGTTCTAACGGGAACAGCTAGATTTCACTCGTCACCAATATGTAGTTCTCGAAGGCAAAGTCTTGATTGAATGATTGAGATACGTTGATATTAAATGTAATATTCGAAATGCGATATGACTAACGAGGGAATGACCCCAACTGATTCCGAGCTTTCGGCTTCATATTTTGGCTATAGATAGATCTCAATGAGACTAAGAAAATCCTGGAAGCGCTCGTGCCCATGGGCTGCTGGGGCAAAGTTATAGCCGTTTTACTGAATTTTTAGTCTACGACACGGTATCCACAGTAAAGTTAAATGAAGGTATTTCGGTCTGGTATTCTGTCCATAAACAGGTCTAATGATTTCTAGCACGTGCCAAAATTTTCAATCAAAACGGATGCTTCCTTCTTGAGATATTCAATTTTCAAAAATGTATGCCTATAACAGGTAAGTCACAATAATGGAGCTGTCCTGCAAATTGAATATCTCAAGAAGGATGCATCCGTTTTGATTGAAAATTTTGGCACATGCTAGAAATCATTAGACCTGTTTATGGACAGAATATCAGACCGAAATACCTTCATTTAACTTTACTGTGGATACCGTGTCGTATGCTAAAAATTCAGTAAAACGGCTATAACTTTGGTCCAGCAGTCCATGGGCCCGAACGCTTCCAGGATTTTCTTAGTCTCATTGAGATTTATCTATAGCCAAAATATGAAGCCGAAAGCTCGGAATCAGTTGGGGTCGTTCCCTCTTAAGCATCGTCAATAGGCGCGTCAATTAAAAAAAAAGCAGAAACTGAGGGGATACAATTGATGATACAGAATGACTGAGTGGCACGGTATATTTTGACAGTGTTTTGTAGAAACGATAGAACAGTAGACATTGAGACAGGTAAAAAGGAATATAGACAAGGTTTGATTCATCGGAACTCAGTAACAAAATTTTAATCGAATACACCATTAATAAGCAGGCTATATACTATATACTTGTCAATTAAATGCTTTTTTTTTCAAATTGAAGTAATGCAACCAAAATACATGCCAAGTAGTCGAAAAGATGAGACGCTATGCCTCGCTACAATTGGATCTAGCAAATATTTGACATCTTTATTAAAAATAGAATAGCATAACCGAAAATAGCCTTCATACTTCAATGAAAGCAAGGCATCATAGAAAAAGCTTTGATTATTAGTTCCAAGATGTGGACCTATCAAACTTCCACCCGAACTCATTGAAAGGTTTGTCAACTTTGTTTGATTAGTTCTGAAAGAATTTTTCCATTGTTGAGAACTCATCTTATAATTCATACCGTCTAAATACTTCATTCATTCAAAAATTTTTCATGCAGTCAGTGGAACAATCACTACCACCACACTCTTAGTATAGATGATTTTCCCTATAAAACAACTTGAACTATTTGCAAATTTCTATTTGTGAAGGAAATATGACCTATACATGTGGAGAAAATACTCCGGTTAACCTCACTTGCAACACTTCGTTCACACTTAATATTTTTCAAGCATTTTATGGCGTACCAAGTTGTTACACTTGTACATGTGCATACTGCAATTGTTCGGCTATGACGGTCACAACGACGATGATAAACAATTGTCAAGGCCTTCAGTGGTGCTCTTTTACTGTGAACAACAATTTATTTGGTGATTCATGCTATACATATGTGAAAACATTCACTATTGTGTATACGTGTATTTGATAGATGAGTTGAGGGTGGATATTGGTGAAGTTATATTTTGGGTTAAGAAGAGACTATTCACAGTCACTCAGCCGCTTTCATCCACCCTCAACTCATCTATCAAATACACGTATACACAAGCTCCTACATATACACACCTACTCCTCACCAAACTCACTCACAAATCGATTTCCAATGATTTTTCAACAAAAACTGATGATAGTATATGATAATGTATTCAATTACTGATGATTTGAAATAAAATTCATGATTGTGAATGATATTTTAATGGAGGATGTGGGTATTGGTGGGTGTGTGGATGTGGGGTGTGGGTGTGAGTGAGTGGTTGCATATCCACTCACACACCCAATACTTTTGTTTTCTAGGAGCGTGAGGATTTTTCTCGATTAATTATAACCTACTAGACAAAAGAAACTTTTACATTTTTTTTATCGTTGGATAAAACATTAATTTTCGTATCGAACTGTATATTTTTCATTGGATTTTTCGTCATGTTAACTGAAAATTTAGTGAACTTCTAAAAATTATTTTTATAGAATTTTTAAGTTTTTTTTCTCGAATAGATTATAGTTGGCTAAACATATAAATCTTTTTTTATTAATATATGGTTTGCTAGAGCATTGCTTTTTCTATCAATTTATGTAATTTTAGTCTGATTTAACTGGTATCTTATAGGAAAATTTCGGATTATGCGAATAGCACTAAAGACCCGATTTTTTTCATTAGTACAAAATTGCCTAAAATTTCAACGGTAAAATTAAATTTTCTTCTTAAATACAAAATAGTTTCATTCAATACTTTCTACAAGTTTAAGTTTAATAGGTCTCTTCAACCTGACATCATTTTCGCGAAAATTGGATTCAGTTTCATTGAAATATGAGCGTGCAAAAGTTTTTTAAAGGTTTTCGAAATTTATTGTTTGTCCAAGATGCGAAATCAATCAAATTAAAATTATACCATTCGATAGAGTAGTCAATCACCTATCCAATCATACAAAAAGAGAAAACGTTCAAAGTTTTGGAGAAATGCAGTAAATTGAAGAAAACTAGTAAAAATAAGTGAATCATGCTGTATATGAATAATCTTTCAAATCGTTGACAAAAATTCTATATATTCCTCTGATCGTTATAGAAAATCATCTTTTTAACATTGAAGATATACATTATTATTTTCTAATGTGCAGTAAATAGAACAAGAATATAAATAGGGATGTGCAGTTTCAGTATACTGACCACTGATAAAATCACACTGGCATTCACCGATGCACTGATGACACTGACACTGACTGCACCGACATTGGTGTCCACTGAACCAGTGTATACACTGGCACTGACTACACTTGTTGCACTGACGCAAAATGGAACGCTGATGTATTGATACTGATTTCTAATGACTCAGTGAACACCAATGTCGGTGCAGACAGTGCAGTCAGTGTCAGTGTATGCACTGGTTCGGTGAACACCAATATCAGTGTGTCACTGCAGTCAGTACGCTCAGTGCAGTGACATCACTGTCAGTACTTCACTGTTTTTACTGAAACTGCACATCCCTAAATAGAAATAAAATATACCTGATTATTACTATTTTATAAATAACAAGTTATTCTTTCAATGATTTGATCAATTGAACATAAAAAGCAAATAAATCAGCACCTTTCAAGATAGATATTTGTTTATTGTACATATTTAAAAGTAATATCATCATATAAGTTCATTGACACAAGTAGTTATTTCATATATGTACGAATATTGTAATGGTTCTGAATTTAGAATTAAGGAAAAACATAGAAAACAGTTATGTTTTGTATTTAAGATCCTCCTCGTTTCGAGCTTTCCTGAAAACGACTTGGCGAAAATTTGTGAATCTTTCAAAGTAGATACATCTTGATAAGTAGAATAAAAGTTACTATAGACTCTAACTCTCGAAATGCCTCTTTCTCAAAGGCTCGCAAAGGTCAAAAATGACCTGAAATTCCTCCTCCTCTCTCTACAAAAATCTTTACGGTGTTTGTAGGATTGAAATTATTACCGTGGCAATTAGAATCAAATCCAGATGCGTATTATTTTTTTTCCAAGAAAGAAACATTGTCCCTGAGATTCAAGTGAATCAAAATACTGAAGACACTATCACAAACAACGTTTTTATTTTTGAAGAGAGAAAGTTTCAAATTCTGGTTTTAAAACAACTGAAAACTTTTGATTGGGAAGGGAGAAGGAGGATCTCCTGCAATATTACATTAGAACAAAGATCAGTGTAGCATTTTCATGACCGATATTTAATTTTATGATGTTTATGCTATCATCAATTTTATTAGTTAAAATTGAAAATAAAAAGAGTTTACTAAGATATTAAAATATAATTTTTATTGCAGAGCTGAAATTTTTTCTATTGGAACAAAAGAAAACATTTAATCATATGTTGTGTCACGCCTTATAATAATACTTAATTGACATCTTTCATAAGTTTTCATTACTGTATTTTGTTACAAGAGAAAATATTTTTTATTCACTTTCGTCGTCACATACCTATCAAAAATTGATTTTCAGGTGTATAAAAAGGTATTGTTTTTCCAAGTACAAGTCGTATTTCATCAACCAATCGATACCAATTTGATGTTAATGTACCAACATGTAAATCTGCATTGAGCTTCAATAAATAAATCACTAAGAAATTCTAATATAATTTTTCCACGTTGTTCTCTCGTCATACCAATTAATGATGCAAAAACAACATTTCTTTGTACTGTTATATTTAATAATTTATAATAACCTTGTTTTTCTTTCTTTATGTAAACAAACTCATTAAATACGTTTTCATCTTCAGAATTAATATAAATTGTTTTTATATTCGTTCGTCTAGCATCAGCATCAAATAAATCAGAACACTGTTTAAGTGTATATGCTTGAGACATTTCTTTATTTCGAACTTTATCTGGTCGACGCCCATATACAGCAATATATGGATGATGAAGATCAATTGAAGGTGGTTTAAAATATTGTGCTATGGTGTTCTGTGCATGAGCTAATGTTTCGGGTTTATATCGCATTAGATAAGACAATAGTTGTGCATGATACCAATTAAAAATTCGATTTTGAAATATAAATGGACAAATAGGTTTCAACCAATAACCAATATTAGCATTGATTTTAATTGTTTGATTGCCATCAACTTTAGATGGAATTGAATAATTAGTTATAGGAAGAAAAACACAATCTGGAGTGCTTGAATTACAAGCTCCGCAAGGCTAAAATAAAATCAATTATTAAGAATTAGTAGTTATTTCATTAGCAACTTTTAGAAATGTTCTGAAGATCCTAATATACATTTCGATATCGATTAGAAGAAGATAAGAATGAGGACTTATTCTTCTGGACTATATGACTTTATGGAGCTTTGGCTAGAATCTGTTATATATGCTATTAAAAAATAAGTTCGAAGTTTTGAATAATATCAAAAAAGAAAAGAAACTCATGATTAATATAACATGACACGCAAACTATATTGTTGAGGCTTTATTTCAATGATATCAATCTACTTTACTCAATTTCCTGGAATTTGATATACAGCAATTCTATTATCTTCTATCGCTGCACCAAATGCCCATACAATTTGATGAACAGTTTATTCAAAACCGAACCAAGCAAAATTGTGAATAATAGCAAAACGTTTATTTGTACAATCTATTGGATATTGATGGTCATAAAGCCATTTTAAAGTTTGTAATGTATTCTATATTGAAAATTTATTTGTTGATGAATGATCACATGAATCAATTTTATCGACGTTTGGTCCACCGGAATATTCAACAATACGACATGGTAAAAGATGTGCTAGACGAAAATAATTTTCATCAGCTAAACGGATTGACCAAAGATGTGTAGAATTATATTCATAAGAAGATGATTTTATCGATTGTTGATTATTTGTTGATGATCTTGGATTTAATTATATGTTTGGCGAAAATGTAAGATGTATTTTACTGTTTGTTTCATTGAAACTTGAACCAAGAAGAAAACCAAATACAAAAACCAATGCGAATGAAATTAAACCAAAAATACTTTTAATAGTTATTGTTTGTAATCATCTTTCACTTATGAAATATTTCATAGTGAATAATGAATCAAAGACTTATTGGAGGGAGAAAATATTTTTTACTGTCATTTTTTAAATATGATTTAGCCATTTTCTTACTTTGAATATACCCATGTGTTCAATTGTAGTCAAACTGCGATCACACTGTGACCGCAATTGCCAAAAATTGCGACGCAGTTGTGCATAACTGCGATGAAAAAAATCGCAATTGCACGTAACTGCATCACAGTTTTTTGCAATTACTGGTCACAGTGCGATCGCAGTTACGATGTAACTGTGTCGCAGCTACGTGTAACTGCGATAAAAAAAATTGCAGGTGAAGGTAGTTACGGTAAAAAAATTGCAGTTGCTACAAATGATGACAAGGTGCCGTTTTCACTTTATTAACCCTGTGAGGACGGAGTTTTTTTTGAAAAAATCAAGGTTTTTATTAGAGTGACGATATATGTTTATTCAATTAAAAATCATTATCAAATGTGTTCTAGGATGTGATAAGCTTTAAAAAAATCAATTACGTATAACCCAATATCACATTCTTCACACTGATATCTTGTACATTTGACTGACTTTTCACGCTTTATTGTATGAGAATATACATGACATTTCCTTTGGGCAGTTATTTTTGAGGTAGTTTAGGGTGCAAGTGCTGGAAAATGTCTAGTAGATAAACATAGCGGTGAATCAATTGATGATCTTCCGATAGAAATTCGTTTTTGATAACCATAGTTTGACATAATATTATTTTATCAGTTGAACATGAAACTCTTTTAACTATAAATTCTTTGAATTCTACGTTTCATATAAATAGTGCAGATATTTTCGGCACTTCCAGAATATTGCTAATTTACTGTATCGATACAAGAATATTATTCTACAGGCTATGTCCACTCACTTCTGATTGATTTGAAATATATACCATTCTCAAATTTTGTAAAATACGTGAAGTGGTATATATACCATACCCGTCTCCAAAGGGTTAAAAATATCATTTATAATGAACAAATCATTAGTGAAATAATTCTGCATATTGGTGCTGATAATTTTTATTTATCACACAATAATATGGCTAATGATAATCAAGATATATCAAATGAAATATTTGATGTATTAAAATTAAAAAAGGCTATTCTAGCTATTAGTTCACATTTACCAAATGCTAATGATGCTACTGACCGAACGTCCAAGAGGGAGAGGGAGAAGGCCAATGAAACTGGACAAGCCGGACAGAGCTACAATAAACACTATTATAGGATCCTAATAGAGCTTCTGCTTCAAGAAAATGGAGGCACATATCGAGAAGGTGCATAAGAGTGTATTAGTGTATAAGGTATTATATACATCAATCTTGAAAGTCGGATTCAACTCAAGTTTCAAATTTCAAACACATACTTCTCTCTCAATGAGTGTACCACAAAAACACTCTTGCACTCTAATACATCCTTATACAACCTGTCCACCTCCTACTACCCATGTAGATATGTGATATGTAGGAAGTTTTTTTCTTTGGAAGACGAAAACTCTATTAGAGTCAAAAAGAGATGAGTTCACTCTTTTTCTTATTAGCAATGAATAAACACATATTTCATCAATAATAAACAAAACTATAATCTCTTGTAAAACTTTTGTTTTTTAAATACACTCGATTTTAAATGAGCAGACACTTGTAAAAATGTAAAAAAGATCAAAGTTCAATACTAATAGCAGTTGAAAATCTCAGAATATTCATATTTAACTAGCTGACTATGTTTTATAACCTTCAATTACTTCAGCACCATATTCATATTTAACTATTTCATTGAAAAAGTGCTGTCAAAACAAACTCAGCTTCAAGATTTCAAGGAAAATTATGAAAAAAACAAAAGGCAAATATTCATAGGAAATATCTGAACGTGCACAAATATTTTATCCTCCCTCCTCCCTTGTGCCTGGACGCACTTTATCGATGATTCCCTAAGAAGGAAAATAGAAGTGAGTGTGGCGTCTCAGTAGATAATAGAAATACTGACCATCACATCCTCATTAGGGTTTCTTTCATAATTTACAACAGTCTACCAGATATCATCGAAAAACATCAATAGTTATCAACGCCAATACCATTCTTATGCTGAAAGACATAGATAAAATCTTTTTAGATCTTTGTATCATAATATTTCTACTGAATTTTAATTCATTCATTGTACAAAAAGTGATTTTCTTGAGTATATGAAAATGTTAATTTATAAGCACATAAATATGTATTTATTATAGACACTAAACTATATATTGTCCTTTTCAAGTATTCAATCTTTTTCATCTCTTCAT